CTTTGAAGAGCTGATTATGCTCTCAGTTACATTCTTGTAAATTAGCAATAATAAATAACCTAAAGAGGCAAAGCTGCATCAGCATTCAAATGGGGAGAGGTAAGATTATGAACAAACAATTTCAGGAAACAACCAGATTTATCAGTAACTCTTTTTTGTGCACCACCAAAAAAAAAAGCAACAACAAAACAAAGTTTCAAAACCTACACCAGGCAGAACATAACATTGTTGGCTGCAGAATTTCCGTCTGTGACAAAACATCTCCCAGCACAGAGTTAAGGAAGCCAGATCGTGATGCCTATATGTGCAACCTGGTCTAGGAAGCCTATTTTGGCAGCAGGTTGGACTAGATGATCTCTAAAGCTCCCTTCCAGCCCCTACAAATTCTGTGATTCTGTGACATTAAACCAAGATCTTCCAGAACAGTGAGCACGATGCTACAGGATCACCGCCTCAATACAAACTTAGCACTACTTGATGACAGTCATGTAATCCTCCACATATTATAATCTTCTCTGCTCTACTTCAGTACAGGAATCTCTTTGAACTAGAACATTCTATCCATATACACGTAACAACCATGGTTATGTTTTGACTTACTGTGTTAGCATGGACAAATTGGAGCATTCTGGACATCAATTTACCTATCTGATAAAAACAAATTATAGTAGCTTTTGCTCCTAAGTCTTTAGAATGGCTAGCCTCAGATGGAAGTTGTGTAGCTATTTGATGTCTGTTAAATACAGTTTTCTTCCAAGTACTGTAGAAATTATAATGTCTTGTGTAACTAGTGAAGTAGCATAGATTCATAAATTATACAGACAGAAAGAAATCCCCTAAACATACCAGGAAGTGCATAAAATATGCATCACAATGCTACAAATTGAAATTTCTCCTTCCAAGAGGGAGCTGCATTACTAAGTTCATTGATAGTTGAACTGACACATGAAGCCTCCTATCTCTTCTTGAAAATGTATTTTTATTACCATTAAAAATTTTTGAAAAGATTATTTAAAAGCAATGAGAAGGTTACAAATGCACTATGTATATTTATAAATGTCAAGGAAGCTGAAGTCTATAAGATGTCCTAGCATTTCACTGAATCAAACCTTTGGGAGAGGAATAGCTGAATTAGCTTGAAAAGGTATCCATTCAAAATGCTTGTTCTTCCTTTCTTACTGGTATATCTTAAGAGAACTTCATAAGGTTATCATCATTTGCTCCCCTTGCCAAAGATAGCATATCTCATATAGGCACTTTTAAGCTAATTTAAAATAAACTCAGGCATTTGTTTCCCCTTGCCCTTGTTTCCATGTCAACAGCACTTAATGAATGCATCATTCCAGGAAATGTCAATAAGGAACAAAGAATGAACAAGCACTGAAAACTTCACACATGGTATGCATCCTTCACAATCATATCACTTTAATGAAAATAGGTGAGGTCACCTGCAGCATTAGCAAATGCTTTGTAATACATTCTGACCCAGATGATTTTTCACAGTTCAGTAACACCCTGTTTGAAGTTTTCACAGCAAACAATACACCCACAGGACTGACCAAGTGCGGGTACAAGAGAAGCAACCAGCAATTACTGTGTTGACTTCTGTTACTTTGATCTCCAGGTCATGACCTGTGCTTTCACCCAATCTTCAAAGTAGAGATTGTAGAATAGGTTATTTTAGATCATGTACTGTTTCGTAAGTGGTTTTTCTGCGTATTTGTTGCTTCCCGTTTAAGGCAAAAGATTTTCAGTCTTTCCTATTGCCACTGTATTTTCTGATTCTAATTCCAGCAGTGAGGAGAAATTCCTGAAATTTTCTTTTACTCTCAACCCCAAGATAAACTTTCACAAAATATCATCTCTCAAAACTGGAAAGCTTAAAAAAATACAAATAAAATTAAAAAAAAAAATAGGAGTCATAGCACAATATTTTCTTACAGAAATAAATTAAAGCACTTTTATAATAGTGGAAAAACAAACAAACAAACAACCACCCAATACTTTTAAAAAGGAACCAAACAAGTTTGGTTATAAAAATATCACTGAATGAAGCTTTCCATTTTCTTTCCTTCTCCAAGAAAAATTTCATTAACAAACAGAAATGTCATCAATTTATTCTCCTACACATTTGAAGGTAAGGAGAAATAACAGGGCATGGAAAACAAAACAAAACATTTTACTGTTTCTATTATTTTTCCCAAAAAATAACCTACTCAAATGTTAGTATGTTTCTGAGAAAAAAAAGCAATCGTTTTGAAAGAAAGTCACAGTGTTTTTGGATAAAGCCTATTTGCAATGAAAAAACAAAACAAAACAAAAGACAAGCTATAGCTCATTGAAATGGTGAATTACTTGATGATCCAGATCTTTACATCTCAATAAAAAAAAAAACAAAAAAACATAGTTACATATACTCCTTTTATTTCTGCTGCGAATTTATTTGTAAATTAATGAAGTTTTAAAAATTTAATTTTGCACAATTTTTTTACAGTTGAAATTTTTTAGGTTTTATAGGACTTTTCAGTTTGCTGGAATGTGAAGATTAAGTAAAGCTTTGATTTCCAGCACCTTTCTCATTCTGGTTGAGGAATTAAACAGCCTGAACTCTAATTGAACTCAGTAGGAATGAAATTAAAGCTCAATGAAAAATGAAGCTGTGGTTCCAGTGGTCACTGCAAAAAAGAGTCAAAGTATTTAATAAAATGTTTATTTCATTGAGGTTCACTGAAATACACTGTTTTGATGTTTTCAATGTGACAAAATTTCTCTAAAAGCTTAAAAAAAAAGTTACTTCAGAACCTGAAAAAAATGCCTAAGCTAACCATTACAATTATTTGCTTTTAAGATTAGTAGCAATACATCTATTCTGTAGAGTTAAAGTTGTATATTTTGGGAAAGAAAGAAAATGTCTAAATTTCTGCAGAACACGTATTAAAAACTGAATAACTAGTAGACTTCTTTTAATCAGTTTCATCATTATTCATTATGTAAATATACTGCTGTAAAGACAATTTATATATATATGCACACCCACATTATATGCATACAGAATGAGTATTTATACATGTGTGTACACACATACCTAAACATTTTTGTTTGTTTGCCTTTGAATGTAATGATGTCTTGCAAATACAAGTTATATAATGTAACAAAATCATGGAAAATTTTCAGGAAGCTTTAATTACAGCAGCAGAACCATAAATCATTCAACAAATTGGAAGTCCATTTGTCTTTCTTGAACAAGCTTTAATTAACACAGTTTACATGGAAAAAATACCCAAGTTTTTGAAAAGTTGAGAGGAAAGAAAATGGAGGCAATGTTGCGGTTTCCAGCAGATGCATAAATGCAATCATTTCACAATTTTGACATGGTGGTTTGCCATGATGTGACCTACAACTACCTTGACCTCCCTGAAATCAACATTTTGCATTGAAATGAAACAACAGACACGCTTGTTTTGATGTATGGCTGCATGACATTTTATAAATATTACATCACATAACCACAGAGGATGTCAATCAATAAAGAATTTTTTCAGACAGCACTAAATGAACCATAGGTTCTTGCCTCTGAATGGCTCCTTTAAGGTACTATTTTTGCTTAAATGATTAATAGGAGACATTGTCAGAAAACATACTTAAAGTGAAAAACAGTAAACTGAAGAAATATCATTCATTTTTAAGCAATTCTCCACTGCAAATGTCACATAAATTTATACAGAGACAGCTTTGTTAGACTCCTGTAAGCTGGATAGTAGACATATCTTCCACATAAATGCAAAAGCAATGGGAAAATATTTTATTAAATTTTAGCTGCTCTACTTGTTGAAAACTAAAATACTCTAGATATGTTAGATTCAAAAGTAGACTTGTTAGGATGTAAAAATCTTTAGATTAACGATAACCAAGAAATCCTTTTCAAAAATGTGGAACAAAGTAAACAAATGTATCTGCACCCAGAAAAGTCCTGCTGCTGTTTTAATCTACAGTATTTATGAGCAATAAGCTGCTGTATCCAATTCATGCAGCTTCCTAATAAATCCACTTTTGGTCTCCTCCACTTTGTGCTGTTTTCATACTAGCTCCTACAGAATACTTTGGATTACATAAAGATATTTTCAGGAGTTCTGTAAATCTGAATATTCCAAGTTATCTGCTAACAAGAAGTGAGCTCGGTCTCTAAGGTTGTCAGCACACTGACCAGTACCGCTTGGCTGCAACTTGCCTCACAGAGAGCCGTTTTCAGCTCAAGTGCAAGTACACAGAGACTGGAAGCTTGAATCAGATGTGAACAAGAAGAAATTATTTGTAATAATAATAATCAATGTCTTACTTGACTAACAATTACAGCTATGAAAAGTTGTCACTTCAGCAGAAATTCCGTAAGCTTTGGACCTATACTCACAACCACTTTATGTGCAATCTAGCTCATTAAAATTACATTATAGAGAAGGCTTGCCTATTTGATTTGATTCTAAAAACCAACAGTTCTCAGTAAAGAACCACAATACAGTAGTCCTTTCTTCTGTGTTCTTTAATAGTGTCTTGATACCTCTAATAGAATAAATGCCTCACCACAATCAGACATTTACAGGAGACAATGAGACTGGCTTAGTACAGCGACTTTTTTTTATTTTTTTTTTTTTATTCTTAGCTGTTACCACTAGTATATATAACTGTTGTCTTACCTTGGCCTTAAAGAAGGAGGGGACATAGGCAAATACATACGAGCATCCTCATTCAGGAAAGCCTGTGTAAACCTGCTCAGCTAAATCTGAACATCACTGAAATAGCTCCCGAAATATTTTCTAAGAGAGATCGCACTGAAATTGGGTTACTCAAATTCATACGTGTTTCATGGCAGAACATGGCACACTGTCTTCAGAAGAGAGAGAGTAAATGGTTTGTTCAGGACTATGAGTTGGATTTAGTTCAGTATTTCTTCAGTATTAAAAACAAAGCTGACATACTTTATCTATATAATTGAAGACACTAACCTGTACCTCTGGTAGTCATCTTCATCCTTTTCTTTGCAGACCAATTCATTTGGGCAGGCCACATTTCCAAGCAAACTGAGATACTGCAGTGAGGGCACAACTTCAGCCAAATGATCCAAAAGGCTTTCTAATTCTGTTATGTGTCAAAGGTTGTGTGTTAAGGATTCGATGACATGTCTGAGGAAAAGCATTTAGAGTTGCATCACTGCTGATTTAAACATACATTTCAATAACTGACAATCAAATTTAGTATGGCATTCGGGGAAATGTCACATTAATTGTTCCAAGGGCAAACAGGGATAAACTTTAGTCAGTTTGTTGGCATGGAATGAAAGAATTTGGCTGTTTTGTCAGTCTTTTCTTTCCTAGGTGGTTCACTACAGAACATTAAAACTTTGACAAAATGATGGATGCTGTGTGGTAAAATGGCTAGCAATTGCTATTGCCATGAAACTTTTCCAGCATGGAAACAAACAGTTTCACAGAACATTCATCACTAATATATTCAGTCCACTGGAAAACGAGCTTTTTTTTTTTTTTTTAAGTCAAACCACAACAATCCACTTTTACTCTCAGAATATAAATACTTTTAGTGCCATGGCAACACATTTTTAATTACTCAATTAGTACATGCAAATAAATGATTCTATAAAAGCAACTTAAAAAATTCAATATGTATTTTATACGTGAAGTTTTGAAGTCCATAAAGCATATCTTTAATTAAAATAGCCTTATACTTTGTGTTATGAGACATTTCAACTTAAGTGTGTTCCTCAGAACATAAATGATGACACATCTTTGACATTGTAAAATGTATTAAAACAAACAAACAAGCAGAAATTAATCTTTCAACCCATGCAATATTGGACATCACTGCTTACGTTTAAGCATAACAGTATTCAACTATACTGAAATATACTGATTGAACAACTACAGTAAATTTTTGTTGAAGTGCAGTCTCAGAGAATCACACTACACCCTGTTGTTTGGTTCAATTTACATGCAAAACTTGAAATTCTAAAAAAAAGAGGCCATATGTAAGTGTGTATGTAGTTTTCGGTGCTTAAAACCTGACTGGTTTAGACAATAGTAGTAATTATTCAAAAACATTAAGGGTATTTCACTGTTCTGTTTTTATCTACTCCTGCTGTTACAGACCACAACTATTATTTTAAATCCTCAGTTCACTTGTGTTGCTATTATTTATACTTGATTTATGTGTTTCTGTTATCTTTGTTATTTTTAGGTGATGGAATTTACTTTATTTCTTCACCTCAATATCTTAAGGGCAACAGAAGCAATACAGAATGAAAAGAGCAGCTTCACTGTTAAAAACAATGTCTTCTTTTTGTTCTGAAATTTCATTTTATTTCCAAACATAAGATCACATTGACAATTATTAATTTTAGCATATTAAAAAACAGCAGTTATACTCAAAGCTAATGTTCTCTACCAAAATATCTGAGAAAATTACACTTGAATATTTTGCATGAGTGAGAAAAATTCAAGTTTTGAATTAGATATGTGACTATGGAATGCTACAGCCATCAAATCATTTACTAGACCATAAGAAAAACTGAATCACAAAGCATCACATAATATAACGCATCTTAGCCACAATAAAGACAAAATTCTCATCTTCATTTCTAGACCTCTAGACCACACATAAACTTTTAAAACAAATTATTTTCATGACTTTTTCGGGAAGGACATAAATTTGATGGGAAGGCCATGGAATTGTAGACTCATTTGCAAGCTGGAAGGTTGGAAGACCTTTAGTGGTCATTTAGCTTAACTCTCCTTCAATGAACTGGGATACCTACAGCTTGATGAGGTTGCTCATGACCCTGTCCCAGCCTGACCTTGAGTGTCTCCACGGATGGGGCATCCACCACCTCTCTGGGCAAACTGTTCCACTGCTTTACCACCTCTACTGTAAGAAACATGTTTCTTCTAATCAATTCTAAGTCTTCTCTCCTTTAGTCTGAAACTGTTTCCCCTTGTCCTGTCATAACAGACCCTGCTGAAGAGTCTGCCCCCTTCTCTCTTATAGCCCCCCCTTTAGATACTGAAAGGTTGCTATTGGGTCTCCTGGAGATTTTCCTTCACCAGGCTGAATAGCCCCAGCTTTTTTAGCCTGACCTTGTAGAGGAGGTGCTCCATCCCCTGCATCATTTTTGTAGCCCTTCTCTGGATGTGCTTCAACAGGTCCATGTACAGAACATCCCACATCTGGATGCAGTACTCCAGGTAAGATCTCACCAGCACAGAGTAAAGGGGCAGGATTACCTCCCTCACCCTGGTGGAATGTCACAAACTGTTTTTCCGCACATATTTTACTAATAAGATTTTTTAAATTTTCTATTAGACTATTAGAGGAGTGCTTGCATCTAGCACTCTCAGCCAGGAGAAACAATTTCTTTCAGGACTGATTAAATTGCACAAAGGTTTCATTAGATAAGTAATTTATTATTACAAAAAGCAGAAAAGCAGTTATTTCAATTACAGCAATGACACACAGGGGGTTAGCTGTTGCAAAACTTACATCTTATCTGTCCATTCCTTATTTAAAAAGGAAAAAAAAAGAAAATAAACTTTTTTTACTCTTATATGAAGTAAAAATTTAGGATTTTTAGTTGAAATTCAGTAGAGCTTTTTCTGGGTTAGAATTTTTTCTCCCCAAAGTTAGTGATTATTGATTAAGACAGATGTCTTCTAACTCCCATTTGACCACACAGAGTTAGAGGAAAATATCAGAATACTTTTGGATATTTAATATATGACAACTTAGATTAATACCACAAATCCTAGTCCTACAGAAAGCAAAGGGGAGACATACCATACTCACTAAGGCTCTTGGTTAAATAGTAGTTGATAACCTGCGTCTCAAATACATAAATCTACCTCAAAGATGGAAATTGGTGCCTAGATTCTAATATTTCACATCCAAATCACATTGCTTTTTGGTACAGAAACTCTCTCATTAAAATTCTCTCAAGAAAGCATGACAAGTAGCACACACCAACATCTTACCGTGTAGCTGTTGCCCTCCAGACATTTTCTTTCTTATCATTTACTCATTTTCCTCTGTAGAATTAGATAGATACTTAGCACCCTAGCATTATTTTGATTTCAGTTGCAACAGGAGCAGAAACATGAGAAAACCCAAGAATCAGACATAATCACTTGAAACATAGGAAGTCACTAATTCATGTAAAAGATGAAGATTTGCAAACTTGGAACAGCTCCAAAATCACAGAATAATAGGAACACTGGTCCACCAATCAACCTGCAGGTTGTGATAGTCAACTTTTAGATGGGACATCAGGACATCATATCACAACTAAAATAATTGCACTGAAGTTCATTAATTAAAACTTCTGTTATGTAGGATTTCAACTCTTTTTCCATCCTCCTTTTTTTTTTAAAAAAAAAAGCAAATGAAGGTACAGAATATTTTTCCAAGAAGTTCCGTTTACCTGCCATCACAGTTACTTCTCACAAAGCAGGTAGGAGAAAAAATAAATTAAGCTTTGTTCAAATTTTCATGACTAAGTATTTTTCAGAGATGAGACATAAGTCATAGAGTACTTCTAGTGCAGTATTTAGTTAATTAGAAGGTCATATATTTGTTTTCTTTTAAAAATAGTGGAAGGCCAGCAAAACTATAAAGTGTTTCTAAAACAGTGTTAAATATACAGAGGAAGAAAATCAAAAGCAAGTTGGAAATTTAATTTTCTTTTTCCTGTTCATGATTCACTGTTGCCATCTTGATGCAACCAGAGCCAAAGAACTGCAAAACTCTGTTGTGTAATTGCTAAGGTCAACCTCATCTATATTCTTTCCAAAAATGAAAGCCACAATAAAATCCATGTACAGTGCAAGGGAAATTTTCTTTATTTAAAGTTCAGTGACATAAACCCTGAATTTATTTTTCTGAAGGCAGTATCACTGATCACCGAGTAAATACGTAGCAGTGATCAAAATATTTATACTGTAGTCTCTATTGTTTGAAAAATGTTCAAAATTGTCTCTGTTAAAATAATTAAAATGTCTTAGCATACCACCTTCATTCAACTGTTGTCATTACCGGTCTATTTACGCCTTTCTTTCCGAAGAACAATGACCAAAATAAAAATGTGTAAGTTTTTTTTTTTTCTTTTTCTTCTAAACTTGCCTACCCTTCAGATAACAAGTTAATTCTTAGCAATAATACAGTAATGATCCCCTCCAAAAACACAGCCTGGCCTCCAACAATTAACATAAATCTATTAAATGTATTTTAAATTTCCATCCTCATCAGAAGATTATGATTTCTTGCACTGTTTTCAGTTTTATATTAGGAAAATACTTAAAGAGAACTGGTTCTTCCATACTCCGATGAACTTTTTAAAGCCTCCTAATTATTTTACATGTATGCACGCATACATGCTTGTATATTTATAGTAGACAGCTCACAATAAACATACGCACAAGCACACACAATTGATCAGCTTACTTTCTTTTAAGAAAATAAGCTACAGTAGCACCAAAACATTATCAATAACATTACTTGAAAAACCCAGTTGGCCCAGTTAACCTATAGTTAACCTGCTAAGCAATATAATAAAACTCTAGGTGCAAATTTTATGCAACCAAAAATGTCCTACAAATAAGCACGATCTGTGTTTTTCACTTTCACTGACTTCTACTCAATAACATAGTTTTTGAGGTTTTCCAGAAAGCAAAAAGAGCAAGCCAAATGTTCAAGGCAAATGATGCACCTCCCTTCTCTGGCTAAGAATTAACTTGGTTTGTAACTGTCTAACTGTTATAAGAATTCAACATCATCATCAGGAATGATGCTGAACATCCCCCGTACTCCATACTATTTTCTCTCTTACTCTCTTATTTTTGGTTCATAAAATTGCTTTTTCAGCAGTTTTGCAAAATATGAGCAATGTGACTTGCTGGTCAAACCTCTGGTAACAGAAACAATTTCTGGTAGCAGTTTCTACATTAAATTATTCTATATAAGTGCATTAAAATGCTGTTCTACATAGACCTGTGCAAATAAACTAACCAATATGAATTTCACATCTCATCACCTGGTTTTCTTTTCCATGAATATAGGTCAAAGTTCATTAAGGAAACTGCAATTTTTTTCTGTAAACTTTTTTTTACTGCTAGCATTTTTTTTTAACAGTCATACACTCAAATTAATTGACTTTCTAAGGAAACTAATAACTCTCTCACTCTCAATGCTTTGCAAGTTGTACAGCTATTTTCTTTCAAAAAGCTTGTAGTTTGCCTTGCCTATTTTTTTGCTCAGACAGTTGAGGAAAAGCTATCTGCATTCATGACTTTCTGTGATTACAGCTTTCAGAAGTTCTTGGAAGCAAAGAGACAAAGCAAAGAGCAATCACTTTTATATTCAAAATATTTATGAAATGTTTACTTAGAGAATATTAGAAATATCACATAAAGTTTTAGCCCACCATACAGAAAGACCAAAAACTGTCACTCAGAAGTCTTTTGTCAACCATGTCATGTAGGTTCTGTAATCAATATGAAATTGAAAGAGCTGGATAGCCCTTCTACCAGAGTCTTAAGCAAGCAAGTTACCTGTATTTTTTCAAATTTGTAACATCTTTTGCTTTAATTAACTTTATCACAAATATGTTGCAGCAATTACAAGTGATTCTATAGGCAAATAGCCTTGAAGCAGAAGTTACTAATTCTCCTCTGAATGCAGTATGAAAAGATCTTTGCCACCTGAATGCTTTTTCCATTAGAATGTGCTAGGTCTTCATGGTTGGATAACCACAGAAATAGCTTGCATTACGCAAGTCTTCCTCTTCTGCAATAGGATGCCACATACAGTCATATGTACACCGCATTCTAGCTTGAGCCCTGTCTGATAGGCAGTCAGGGCCCTGAGATACGGTCTTGCTCACTGATTTTAAAACCACCTTGCTCAAGAAAGAAAAGTTGCAACACAAGTGGTAATTAACTAAGTCCATAAATCTTATGGTGAGCTTCCCATTTACTGAATACTGAGGATATTCTGTCTAGTGGAGTAGCATTAGATTTCTTTGCATAACTGCAGTTTCCAAGGAATTCAAATGTCTTTCCGCAAGGCCAGGGTTCCCAGGCAGGAAGTTTTAAGAACATATTTCAATGTCATTAGTTATACAATTAGAGGCATTTAGATAGTACTGTCAATATTAGATTCTAAGTATTGGTTATCCCCATAGCTGTCATACACTTAGGCTAGATATCTGTGATGTTCCCTTCCAGCTGAACTATTCTATTCTAAGTTGAGAACAAGTTAGTATGCTTCTATTTCTACAAGCAAATTATTTTTCTGGTTCTCTAGAGTGATCCATCAATCCAAAAAACATAAATCACGAACTTCAAAGATTTTCTTTTAACACTGTTTCTTCCAGTTGTTCAAGATTCCCAAGAAAATACAAAGATAATTTAAAAAAAATGCAGTGGCTCATCATTTTTAGAAGTTCTGACAACTGCAGTCAAATTTGTCCATTACTGCTCTAGAACAGGAGAATGAATTGCCTGTACTACCTCATTTTGCAGACATTTAGCATCATACATTCACATTGCTTACTTTTTGGTACACTGTGTAAGAAAAAAGGTGGTCTCGAGAGTGGTGAAGAGTGAAAAAAAAAAAAGGCTCAAGACTCAAGTAAATTCAAAACACTTTGCAGAATTCATTGAGGTTTTTGTTTCATCAGGTACTGTAGTTCTCTAGCTACACACTCAAATTTAGCCATATTTGTCAGTGTCACATAGAGAAATTCTCAAGACCAAATGCAGGAATACTGCTGTCCTGTTTCAGCTCATATCTTTGTTTAGTGGAGGTTAAGATTTATAGATAATGTCTTTAATGTATTCACTCAATGTAAACATCAAGTCCTCTGCACTTAACACAATGGGATTTTGGTCACAGATTGGGACTTCTAGGTCTTCAAGCACTTTAGGACAACATAGAAACAAGCACAGGCACAATAATTTAGAATCTATGGTTTGGAATTGGGCATTAGGACAAAAACTCTGTGGAGATAGATGATAATCAGGAATACTTACCGGGACATCCTTTAGTTTAGGTACTCAATCCATGCCATGTTCAAATATTCAGAAACCTATCATCCCTGAATCTGAAGCACGGTTAGCGTCTTTGCCATAAGCAATGCATTTATCATTACTACCATTCTGCCTCAGTTCTGCATTTCCCACTTGCAAAGCATTTTGGTTTTTCTCTCAGGCATGATCAATCCGCAGCCCAGCACAGGTCACAGTGCAGCCACCCCCTACTCAGCACCATCATGGAGACTGTTCCCGCCAAATGGCCCCACTCAGTCCTTCAGCACTAACCAAATACTGGTGTGTTATTAACCCCATCTAGACTGAAATCAGGGCATGGGGTGTAATGCAGAGCAAGCTTAAGTTATGGCAAATGAGTTTATATCTTTTAATACATTGGCTAAACAGTCCTGTGAACACAGATAAATGCGTAGCTGTGCTTTCTGTTGTGATTCTGGAATTTGAGAATAGGTTTCAAGATTGATCATTGTGGTTCTTTTTCAACCCAGGCCATTCTATGATTCTTTGGGGAATGACTTTACAAGGGTGGATAGTGATAGGAAAAAGGAGTATGGTTTTAAACTAAGGCAGGGGAAGTTTAGGTTAGATTAGGTTAGGAGGAAGTTTTTCACACAGAGGATGGTGACACACTAGAATAGGTTGCCCAAGGAGATTATGGATGCCCCATCCCTGGAAGCATTCAAGGCCAGGTTGGATGTGGTTCTGGGCAGCCTGGTCTGGTGGTTGGCGACCATGCACATAGCAGGGGGATTGAAACTAGATGATAATTATGGTCTTTTTCCACCCAGGCCATTCTATGATTTCATGATTGCCCAACAATTTCTTAGTTTATTTGCAACTCTACTTTCAGTTGACATAAACATATTGCTTGTGACTTTTCAAATGGAACTGTATAGATTTGCAATAAAAAAGTGATCATATATCTTTACCAGACTTTTATAAGCTCTCTCTTACCAGAGAGAAATATCCTCTTCACAGTCACACCTTATTCATGTCATCGCTTTTTGGCAGTAGTTACGTTTGTGAACAACTGTTTTCAAGGATGAAGTGCAGAAAGAGCAAAATTTCATCAAGGATCACTGATTAACACCTTGAGAGATCATTGAGAATTGCAACCACTGCCATCGAACAAGCACTTCTGCAACTCCTCTCTTAAATTATTGGCAACATACTACAAAATGTATATACACTGTTTCTATAACATGGGTAGCTCCATACTCCCAAATTTCCAATTTTATAGTTTTAAGACTGAATTTTAAAAATATCTGGATAGGTCAAACCCTGCTTATCATTGTATCACTGACACTGAGAGTTTACTGACTTGATTCTAAGTCTGACTGTGATACCCAACGGAACCTCTTCAAAGATTACTGCTAACTAATTTTTTTTCCCCTGATTTGTTCAACTAATTCTTATTTAATATGCATGTCCTCCTTTCGATAACTGCAAAGTTCTTCTTGACACTTCCTATCCCACATACATGCATGCACACACTCAGGAATCCTACTGCCAAATTCACGCATCCTGCTTTGTAGATGGAAACATGCCGCATCAGACATCCACAGCATCATCAAAAATGTTATTATACATACTTCACCAAAGCATGACCTCTGAACTCAGATTTTACATGTGGCAGCAAGTAATAATACCAAACATTTATTCAAAGTGACCAACAGCGTCCTGGTATTAACCAGAAATCTAGCACTTACCTAGTAAAGTGATGACTCTTATGGTTCATGAGACACTTGACAAATTTCCAGGGCTGAGTATATAAATTGCTCTGGTGACTTTTATTTATTTATAAAGTCAAAAATAAGTGCAGAAATCATAGAACCTGTAGTTATTACTTTACTCCTCCGTAAGAGGATTTTGCTCCAGTAGGAGGTAAATTGCTCTCTGTTTACACTGTCTGAAAAAAAAGCCTGCAGTTGAGCAGCCTTGTCCTCACTCTGCAATTAGAAAGAGAATATTTTCACAGCCTGTGCTCTGTAGGTCTCAGTTGGCCTTTTGGCCAAAATTTGATTGCCCTCCACTTTTGTAAAATCATGAATTACACATCTTCAAATCTCCAGAAGGGTCAAAACATGAGAAATGATTTAATAATCAAGTCCATGTCCAGTCCTTGTAGATAATTAGCTTTTACAGACCATTACATATAAGCCTACCGATTGGGGTCTCTGAATCACCATAGTATTCAGGCAAATGCTGAAATATTTATGCTGAACAAACTTAAGTAGGCATGCACTAACTTCAGACATACAGAGAAGTGCCTGATTGGTTGTGAATGAACTTAACCACGCATCGAAATATTTAAATATATGATTTGAGGAGCACTTCATATGAATTATACAGAGCCAGAACACCAAGAATATAGCAACTCGATTTAATGGTTGCAGTTACGAAAATGTGCCTAATACCAACTTCATTTTTGATTGCTTTTTCATTTCTTTTTATATTATTATTATTATTATTATTATTATCATCTTCATCATCATCATCATCATTATTTACTTTGAAGAGCTACTAAGGTATATAAAAACTTAATATCATTTCATTGCTCCCTCTATTCCACTAGAGGTCAGCCTGCAACAGAACCCCAAGCAAACACAAGAACTGCAGCACACTAGTAGCACTGACATTATTTTCTTTCTCTATTTTATCTATTAAAAAAGATTTCTTCAGAGCCATAACTTAGATCTCTCACTAAAATGGAGCAACAGGAAGATATAATGGTGCATTTCATTTATGAATGACCTATAATAAATTACTATGAAGTATTCCAGGTGCCAAGCAAGAGAATGCTTTGTCTGCACATGAACTATATTTCACATACTTTAATTTGGCTGACACATAAAACTCATTTGACATTTTGCAGGTATTTCTTTGAAAGGATATTTGATTCTTGTTGAGCGTTAAGGTGTGGAGGTGGGGTAACCTGGGTAGCAGAAGGTCATTTCCGAGTAGATTGTTGTCCAAGATCAGCTCTTCCAAGTAAGTGAATGTTTTCAGTCCTTCTAGTGACCTGCAAACGACAAAGGCAACAGGAAAAATGATACTCCACTAAATCAGGGAGGCCATTATGAGCTGAAATAAATATTTTAACCTTCCCTTTCAGGAGTGGGAATAGTTTTGGTTTGGGCCTGTCAGAAGAGTGAATGACAAGCATTAGTGGCAAAGGGAGTGCTGGCACTGCAACACATCCTTCACATGCTGGCAGGATGAAGGATGGGGGTCACTTAGTGAGTAGCCAGGATCCAAAACAAAAGGCTTCAGATATGGGGCCTGCAGGATGAATTTGTCAATGTCTTGTGCCTTCAGGCACCCAGCCTCGCCTGACCCTAACCTCCATTCCCAAGATAAATAACTCTGTCACAGTTCACCTTCATTCCCTGGACACAAATTTAAGTTGTCATCCATCATTTCTGCCAAGAAATATCATACCCCACTAACAATAATAAATACAACTTCAAGTATCATTTCTTAGCTGTTACCCTACATGCAATAATAGGAAATGGAAAAAGGTTTTTTTTTCTCCTTTTATTAACCACTTAATTTGCTTCTCCTTGAGTCTCTGCAAACAACGTAAAATGTTCTCTACAAAATAAAATGTAGAATTACTCCAGACAGAAAAGGCATTTACTTTCTTCTTGGAACTTTCTGTCCCACTATCAAGCCACAGGTCAGACTGCAGAAAGCAGCTTTAAAAAGGAGCATTTCACAACATGGAAGTGAGATGATGGATTGTAAATAAACAGGATTCTAGAGGTATTCATTCCCCTGATAATACAGTATAGGGAGGAAAAAAAAAAAAACCAAAAATCTAAAAGAACACTTAGGTACCTTGTTAAAGCATCTATTCCAAACTCAATTCTTAATGCTTGCACATTCCAGCAAGAAAAAAAAAAAACACATATTAATCAAGTAAGAGGCACTGTATACAGATCATAGGCACAGACACATTCACAGCTCATTCACCTACCAGACACCTAAAGATATGCGGAGATTGCAGGACTTGACAGCTGATCTACTATGCCTACCACTGGGAAGATCATCACTGTATCTCTTGGCTGCTTTATAACATGTGATGAATAAGGGAATAAGGTCTATACTATTTATTCACTTTCCAGTGACATTTATACCAAAGGGATTTCCTCACTCTCCCCCAGTTTTTGGCAAAGATCAAAATCCATCTAAGGTCCCTGTTAAAGAGTTCTGCAGACACTACAGCTGGAGGAAAATACAAATATTATGTGTTCCTAATTAGACAATGTAGCATTCATCTGTCCAATAATAAAAATAGTATTTTTGTAGATGCAACATCCTGACCACATAAATCACAGAGCATTCAGACAGTGGTTTTTTTCTTTTTTTCTGGAAAATCAAGTTTGTAACCTTTGAACTATTATACACTAAATTATGAACATTTCAATGACACTTATCACAACACAGGAAAAGTATATTCCAATCTAAGGACTCCAGAGTACTTCAGACCTAGTTGACTTGGCATTCTGGAAGGGAGTTGCCACTGTTATTAATGCAATTTTGATGCTGGACAGCCAAACCTGAAGAAAATTCACAAAGCCTACCCCCTATGGCATATCTATATGATATATTGAGACTAGTTTCCGAAGCTGCAAGAGCAAAAGCCTCCACTCTAAACACACCAAAACAACCGTCAGAGTAGCAGTCATATTTTTGCACTTGCACTTAGAAAGCTCTTTTGGAAAAGCTCAATTCGGCCTGCATAACCCATCTACAGATGAGAGCTGCTAGACTGAGTAGTTATTTCAGTGAAGGGATCATAACAAACTTTGTTTTGCCAAAGTCAAGATCAGAAGAGAGATCAGTGAACATTTCAGACAGTGCTTTCCCCCAAGTACCTTTAAAAGGCAAAATAATCTAGAGGAAGCAGCTGCGAGTTTATCAAGCTGTTATGAGTTTTTCATTTCAGTTTATTTGACAAACCTAGTTCAGTAAATTGCCTTTAAATAATCTTTATTATATAAATAGTGGATTATTTCCAAATCTCACATTTTAGTGTAAGACTTTGACTTGCCAAAGGAGTTCAGAGAAGGCCACCTCCTTGTCAACACCACAGAGCTTTATGAGATGTTAATAGGTCCTTTGTGAAAAAACATTGTTTGGGCTCTGGTCAGTGTCAGCATCAAAATACACATTGTTCCTGAGTTATGTTATGCAAATATAATACTCTTATCATAAGAATCGGCAAATGGTTGGCAACGGGCAAGGAGAAGAAAGCACACAACCAAAACTGCTGCAGGGAAGGCATAAAACAAAATGACAAGCCATGAAGTGGGACAAAAGGCCCTGAAACACTAGAGGGAGTTGCTTATTGAAACAGCCTTTCTTTCACAAGCCTAGGCTGAATACAAGGGTACTGGTTTCATCGATAGGCAGAGAGAATTGTGCACAAATCTCCTTACACCTGTCTAGTTTTGATAATTTTTGCCATGTAATGTTATTAGCTGTTCAGCTAAAAAGGAGCTGTGTTACACACAGGGTTGCTTATTAACTGTTGTTTTCATGTCATCGGAGTAGTGTGCACTTGGTGATTTAATCAGCTAAATTCAGACCCCAGAGAGATGAGAGGGGCTGACACAGTACAGGGAGAAGGTGTAAATATTAACATAAATTTATATCCATATTTTAGACCAGTATTCATAGAATTCTGATTTTTGTTTCTTAAACTGATTTTCAAAATTAAAATCCAAGGCAACAACATCTATCATCATAACATATAAGGAAATATTGCCAAGCAGTTGCACTCTGAGATAAAAAAAAGAAAAAAATGTTGTAAGTACAATCTGTGAAATAAGTTTTAGGTGAGTTGCTGAAATTTCTTCCATAATTTCTACGTGCCTCAATTTCCCATTTGCAGATGGAGGACAACACCACCTACGTAAGAAAGAATTACAGTTGTGAATTAGTACATGGAAAGCATTCAGAGAAGCTGAGGTAGAAGTTAGTAGAAAATACCAGCATTTATCTTAGAGTAAGATAGCTATATTAATGTACCGTATCGTCTTATGAGTCCATTATAAAATAGGACACCCATCCACATGGCATAGTAAGAAGCATAGAAACACTGCAAATGAAAAGTATTAAATAAGGGAAATCCCCTGAGAAAAAGAACCAGCCTAAAATTAAATCTGGCCTGCTCTCTCATAGTTCACAGCAGAGGAAATGTCTCCACTTCTTGGCTTATTAAAACAAGCACATGACCCTACCACCACACCAGAACCAGCACTGAAGGGCAGTGGCAAGTAGTGGTTTTCCCTAGCTTCAGAAAGCTAATCAGCATCACTAAGGTGTACTGCAGGTTGCTTTTCCCTGCTGCAATGACAGAAAATCCACCCATTATCTCAACTACAGGTACCATCTCAGTTACCTCATCACAGGGCTCGCAATGCTCCCAGAGGAGAGCAAGTGCTGCCAAGAGATTTCCATTGCAATTTCCAAAGTCACATCAAACCGACAAAACATCACAACGTATTCAGTGCCACCTCATTCAAACAGAAAAAACTTTGTTTCCACTGTAATTAACCCTATCCTCGTTAAGATAATTATGATCAAGCTCCCTGTCACAGCTAATATTGCAGCATCATTGCCTGTGGCTCACGCTCTGCCCTCATTAGCTTACAAAGCCACTGCACTAAACAGGAAAGTGATTCCCTCTGCAAAACGACTTAAGATGTTCTGTAAGCAGACAGTAAATAATCCTTTAGAATACAAAGGTCTCAGAAGTGTCATTTTATCCAAGTCCTTCAACTAATCAGCCTGATTTCTCCCAGCTTTCTTTTCCATAATTCAATCATGATTTCTCACAAAGTTTTAATCATAAAGGAATGTCACGGCAGGGATTTTTCCCTCTATGTGCATGCATGGCAATTGCCAGCTACAGTACCTTACACAAACCCCCTGGCCCAATGGGATTTGGGTACAATGAAAATAAAGGGCAGCTCTTCAATTCGGTAATATTTGACAATGAAAACGTGAAAATGCATAAACGAAAAAAAAAGCAGAAGCACCTATGGAGTGATGGACAAACCTTGGTACAATGCTGTTGTTCCTGTCCTGAAGAACTTCAGAAGTACATTCTAAAAAGGTGTTTCCAGTTCTAATAAGACAGCTGACTCCTATCTAATGACTTTTTTCTCCTGTTTAACAGGAAAAGTGAAAGCAGTTAACAGTATGTAAATAAGAGAGTTTGGCTTTTGCTTTTAAATTGATTTGTGCTCTGTTGACAAGAGATAGCCACTACCAGAAGTTAAAGACAGAGCTGCTATATTACAAGAGCTTTTTCACGTCTTTTTTCTTGCCTTATATGTTTTAACAGGTTACAGGAGAGCAGCATCAACATGAAAAACCTAGTACTAGATAATTTCAGCATTTAAAAAATATAAATCTAATTTCTATTCCTTAGCACCTGCCAGCCAAAGATGACAAAGGCTGTTGGTTTCATATATATACATATGCATATATGTGTATGCAATGATAAATAACAGAAAACAGAAAACATTTTTCCTAATTCCTTGAGAATGCAAAAAATATATATATATAAATATAATATAATTTCAGTTTTACTTGATCTGATTTCTGTTCAAATTTAACTTCCCTTTAAACTGAATCATAACACACAAATAAGGGGGGGGGGGAGGGGGGGGAGAGGAGAAAGCTATATCCAATTTTATTCTGATGACGAAAGGAGTTTGGTGAATCTCCCATGCAAATTGTCTTGGACTGAGGTCTCTGACTCAACTCTCTACTTTCAAATCTTTTTCGGAGGTTCAATTCTAAACACACTTCTCCCATGCAAGTACAGAAAACTAAATAATGCATTTTAAAGAAAACAAAGCAGTTGGATAATACATTCAAACGGAAAACAGAAAGGATGATGCAACAGAGTTCTTATGTGATTTCTGGACCAAAGGGGAAGGAGAAGATTTAAAAAAAAATAGAGAAAGTAAAGAACCCCCAAACTCCAGCATTAAAGTACCAAAG